TGAGACCATTTCCACATCCAATATGACACTGCCTCCCTTTCTATCAAGAGGTTCTGGGTCTGGGAAGTAGGTGAGAGATTTGGTGCTCCATTGCAGAAAGTAACACATTAGTAGGCTGCCCGTCTGCTTTATTCCTAGGGGTCAACACATTCTTGTGGTCACCCCATCTTTGCCATTCATTGCAGTGTGTGCATCCCATTGAAATCAGCCATCCCATCATCAGCACAGGCCTGCAGAGAACACACACCACATACCTTTTCAAAGATGCTAGTCTTACCAACGCCTGTCTCCATGCCTCAGTGAAGGGAGTGTACGTGGGGACCTCCTGAGGACACAGTAGGGGTGGTGAATGTGTGAGTCACCTACCATAAGTCGACTCCAACATCCCTTCCTTCCTCAATCTTTGGCTTCCCTGCTCTTCATCACATCAGGCTTCTCAGTCTCATGGAATCCAGGCTACTACTGAGTCTAGGTTTTAGGCACCCAGCCATGCTGTTAGAGCTACTTCTAGATACTTGAGCTAAAGATTGAGTTTAGAATCTCCACTAAACATGCCCTTGTCAATACATTTGACCTGATCTGAGGTCACTCATGTCTTGTCCATTTAGTTTAACAACTTTAGAGTTCATTCCCACGCATATCCTCCAGATTTCTGTAAGTTAGCAAAACTTTAGTACTTAGTTATTAATTTATTGCTGGCATAATTAGCAATTGTTTTAGTGTGTACCTTTCTCTTCCTGGGTCAGACTGTACCTGTTCTTGTCTCTAGTTAAGGATATGGAGGCAACAGGGTGGGTCTTGAGAACAGCCATCTTCCCGCAAGGGTCATGGACAGATGAGATTATTATTCAGACAAGAAAAGGCTGTTGTCTTCAGATGGGAGAAGGGCTTGCTGCCTCACAAGAGCAGCCTGGGGGTTTGTGGGTGGAGGTTGGTCTGATCTGAGCCATTGGTGATTCTTGAACAGTTACTGAGATGTTGGCCAAGCTTTCCTTTTCCGTGTATTAGGAAGTGCTGGCCAAACGCACGCACGCGCACATGTGAACGTGCTGTGTACAGGTTCTAACCTGATACTATCTGTGCATGAGCTGTCCATTTGGAGCCCCTCCGAGTTGACTTCTGTGTCCCTTTGCATCTCCCCATCATTCTTTGAGCACTTCCTTACTTTGGCATGAGGTAGTCTAGGTTCATCATCCACTTTTCCTTTCCCAGATTTGGAATTGGCCGTTTCTCCAAGGAGCTGTAGTTCCTTTTAATAGGGAATGCTATCCAGAGACCAGAACCTGGTCCCTGGTCATGCCTACTGCTGCTGGGTGTCTCCACAGATAGAGACAGGCCGTGTGTGTGTGCGCACGCATGTACATGCACACACCTGTGTACCTCGTCATAACTCTTATCTCTACATACCATGAGTCCTGAACTGATGTCTTCAATTCCAGTATGATCCCACAGGGTCCGCTCTAACCTTTCTCCTTTCCATGTTTGTGATTCCTCTCGCCAACAATGAGAAACTGGCTCCTGTTATCCTCAATATTATTTCCTTATTTGCTCAATCCTAGGACACACCAACATTGTTTCATAATTGCTAATCCATGCTGCTGTGAAAAACAATTTTTTTTAGGATTTTATTGGGGAATTGGGGGAGAGGAACAGACAACCCAAAATCCTCATTCCAGATCTCAAGGTCTCACTCCTTCCCAGTCAGTGCCATACATGCCACCTAGGAAAACTGGCATGGCTATGAATTTAAGATTGTAATTTTGCAAAACTCATGCAAATTTGGGGCTTGATTTTATGCTCTGTACCTATAAGAAATGAGAGATTTTTCCCCCCAACAACATGAATGGACCTGGATGGTAGTATGCTAAGCAAAATAAGTCTAACAGAGAAAGACAAATACCACATGATCTGACTTACATGTGGAATCTAAAGGATAAAATAACAAAAAAGAAATCAGACTTTTTTTAAAGACTTCCAATAGAAATGCTCTGTTTCCTGATCAGACCCTGATCTTAGGATTTAAAGCCTTGAAATTGCCCTTTTCTGTGGACACTCAGTACAGTAAAAAGCAGCCCGTTCACTTCACTTCTGTAAACATCAAGTGCAGCATTTACTTGGCTCAGGCCTTGTCTTCAACAGGCACTTCATGCTGAACAGCCACAAGTCTTGACACACAGCACACCATGTTACCTGATCTCATTTTCCACTGGCAGTGAGGTCTGCATCCACCAGCAGGGTGGGCGACAAACCCAGCTCGGAAACTTATCTTGGAGGGTCTGTTTCCCGGGACCGTTCCAGGTGCCAAGCACTGGATTCGTCAGGGTCTGACCAGGAAAGAGAGTCCATTCTAGGTATTTCAAGCAGAAGAGATTTAATACAAGAATTTGTTATAAGCATGTCTAAAAGTGAAGCAGCAAAAGATGGGAGGCAAGATCCCTCATAAGTATCAATAGTAGCTGCAACTGGGGGATCGACACCTGCTTGGGCTGGAGGAGCAGAAAGATTGCTCCGAGGCCACCGTGCTGTCCACTACGGCTGCTGGGGCCGGGGTTCAGCGGCCTGATGAGGCTCCAGGAGCCGGCACCTCCAGCCTGCTGTGCCTGTCCTTGCAGCCACCACCACCTGGCCCTTTGTCGCTGATGTTAATGTAGCCAGTGCTGCTGCCACAGACACTCAGAAATCGGGAAGCAAAAGGAAGGCACCACTCTCACGTCCTGTCTCCCAGCAGTGCCTCCTATTGGCAGATGCTGACAGGAGGTCAGCTGGCAAGGAAGTCTCCGGAGTGTTATTTGGGGATCTAACTACATTGTGCTGCTACATTACATTGCAGGGAGCAGAAAGACGGGGATGGGAGGCTGAGCGATGAAGCAGCACAAATGAATGAGCAGTGAGGAGATGCTCCTGGTTAAAGCTGTCCCAGAAATCCCAGCTGTCCTGGGACTTACGGGTGGGGACAGACAGATAAGCAATGAGCACTTCATCTAAAGGTACCGTTAACGTGTATCTGACAAAGGATTTTTATCTGGGCTACACACACACACACCCCTCCCCAAAATAAATAAAAAAGATAGACCACCGATAAATATATAGGCAAAAATAACTGAGCAGACCCCTCACAAAAGAGAATATTCCTGTGGTCAATAAGAAAAGGCGCCCAACTTTATTAGTCATAGAAACATATCCACAGTGAGACCCCACTGCATACCTATCAGATGGCTAGAAATAAAAGGACAAGCACTGCCAGCGTTGGTGAGGATGCATAAATCGGAACGAACACCTTGGAAAACTGCTGGGCAGCATTGAGAACCTGAGCACTGTATCTCCCCTCTGCCCCAGCGATTTGGTCTGGAGATATATATATATATATATATACACACACACACACACACACACACATGCAAGAATCAGTGTCCATGTCCAGCAAGACACATACGAGCATATTCATAGGAGCTGTATTCATAAGAGCTCACACCTGGATATCACCCAAACGAACATAGATAAATGGACAGAAGAATGAGTGAGTCGCGGCACATTCAGACAGTTGAGCTCTTCAGCAATGAGAACGAATAAGCTGCTACATGCAGCAGTGGATGCATTTCACAGAATGCTGAACAACACACGCCACACACAAGAGCCCATATCACAGGATGCCGTTTATTTGACGATCAAGTGTAGACAAACGAATCTATGGTGACAGTAGATAGAGTCGGACTTCGAGGGTACTGACTGGGGAGGGGCAGGCGGGGTCCTGCAGGTGTGTGGGAAAAGTTTATTGACTTGGGCATTTACACCATGTGTACACCTGTATACAAGTTTATCAAGCTGTAAACGTAAGATCTGTGCACTTCACAGCATGTGTGTTAGTCCTCAAAAAAATTTAAAACAATGAAAAAGAAAAGCGAGAGTTTCATATAAATAGAAGTGCTAAGAAGAAATGAAAAGTGATATAATGGGTGGATAGTGGCTGACTGATCAGAGCCGAGACTTGAATGGTGATAAGGAGATAGCCACTTGAGCTGAGAGGCTGCTCTCTGGGAGAGGGGACAGCAAGTACAAAGGCCCTGAGGTAGGATCGAGTTTGAACAGGGTGGGAGAGGTGAGCAGGGCTAAGACAAGCCCTTAGGTTGGTTTTTTTTAAGCACAGCGAGAAATTAAGGGTGAAATAGGGGGGTGTTGGCAGTACTTCCTGAGCCACTAGCCATGAGGAGTAAGATAAAAAGAGGGAACTTCGATGACTCAATTGTGTGGCTAGGATATCTGGGAGGTGAGGGCTGGGATTCCACTGACTGAGCAGGGCTGGGGAGGCAGTGGAGTCAGGTTTGTTGTGGCCGCGTCAAGTTGGAGATGCTCATTAGACACCCATAGATCTGTCGGGAGGCAGTGGGCGGTGGGGCTGAAGTTCTGGGCCAGACCCAGGCTGGAAACGCATGTCATGAGCGTATAGGTGGCATTTCGAGTTTCAGGCACCTGGGCGAGCAGAGAGCAAAAAGAAGGAACACACGGTGTTTAACGGCATGGGCTTTTCTGGAAAGAGACTGGAGCTGCCAGAGGGTTTTGGGCTGAAGCTGCTGTAAGTGCTTGTGCTTCTTTAACAGCTCGTTGAGAGCCCACACCTGGCCGGGCATCTAGAGCCCAAAAGTGAGCAGAATCCGGCTGCTCAGTGCTGGCTGCCCAGGGCCGAGTCTCTGAGCCTGGGCCCCGGGCACACCCAGACCCACTAACCAGCACCAGGAGCGCCTGTGTTTTCCAGTTCCCTGGTGAGTCTTTTGCACATGGAGGTTTGAGAAGCTCTCACTTCCAGTGGCCCAGGAGTGTGTGTGTGTGTGTGTGAGAGAGAGAGAGAGAGAGGGTGGGGCCGCTCCAGAATTTGGGAAAGCGGTCTGTTCTGTAAGCTCCTGTGTGTGTGTGTGTGTGTGTGTGTGTGTGTGTGTGTGTGTGTGTGTGTGTGTGTGTGTGTGTGTGTGTGTGTGTGTGTGTGTGTGTGTTGGCGTGCATGGGGGGCGGGCACGGTGTCCCAGGAGGACAGAGTTTGCATTGATGAAAACCCTTCCCAGCCCTTTGATACCTCTTTCCCGCCGCCCTGAAGTTAACCAGCTCAGTCCTCAGTGCATCCTGCTCTCCGGCCGGCCGTGCTCACTCGGCCAGGATGGCATTCCGTCAGGCCTTGCGCATGGTGCTGCTGCTCCTCTCCGGGGTCCTGGCCCCTGCGGTGCTCACAGGTAAGAGTGCTCCCCTGGCTCTGCTGCTACCAGCCTCCAGGTGGGAAGAAGCACCTTGGGCCAGATTCACCAGCGCCCATGGGGCGGAAGCCCTTCACAGGAGATGGGCGGCCATTGGGGTGACTCTGCCGAGGGCTCCCACGACACAGGTGGCAGCAGTCGGGGACTTGGCAGCCACGGGGACGGGGACGATGGCCTCTGAAGTAGAAGGGTGACTCGGGAAGCAGGGCCAGGGATGTTAGCTGCCTGGGGGACATGGGGATTACTCTAGTACCCTAAAGTCTGAAGGCTCCCAGATCTGGAAGTCAGGAGGGGGACGGGCCCAGGGTAAGTGGCTGGGGAGCCCGAGGCCTCAGGCCCCTGGACAGAAGACCACAGAGCCCTGCCGTTTACTTTTCAAACCCTGCAAGCCTTTCCCTGCTGTTTTTCTGAAAAGTCTTTCAAGAGTGTAGACCCAGGTGCTATTCCCATCAGGAAAAATTTGAGGGAGCATCGGGCCTGAGACAGCGAAACCATGAAGACACGGGATTAGGTTTTGCACTGAGGCCCAGTGGCTGGGTCTGGGGTCCAGCAAGAAGGAAGGTCCTGACAGGCTTGGGCGGCAGGCTCCCCGGACCTCAGCCCCAGTCCTGGGCATGGCTGTGGGGCCCGCCGGGAGGAGCTGGCCCAGGCTGGCTTTGAAGCCTGAGAGCAAAAACACAGACGGGTCACCGGGGTCTTTTTCCAAGAAGAAGGTGATCTCTTGGCCCTGAGGTAGCCAGAGGAGAGTGTTTCAGGCTCCTGTGGGCTTTGGGGGTGTCTGTGTGTCTGTGGGTGATGGCAGGCATGTGAGCATGGCTGGGGAGAGCTGCTTGGGGATGACGGGCCCGGTGGAATGGCCGCAGTCAGGCACGTAGGCCGGGAAGCGGTGGGCGATGGCGAGGAGCCCGTGGGCCTCTCTTGAGCCGCCCTAGGAAGCAGCCTGGCTTTGCTTCCGGCTCCGTCCCCTCCTGTCTGTTTCTCAGCCTCCCTGTGCCCGTCCTCATCTGTACAACGGTGACAGCCATGATGCCTCTTTCTCCCTTGCGGGGAACTGTGGGCCTACCAAGTTCAGACACGTGAGATTTCAGGACGGCCAGGCATGCATGCGGTAGTGCTCAATGTTAGGGGACTGTGTGTAAATGTCCCCCGCCCCTCTGTCGGGGGCAGGGTGGTCGCAGGGCAGAACCACCTTTTCACACAAGCTGGGGGAACGCCTAGCTCCCTTTTGGTGAGGAAGGGGTCTGCTGGATAAGACAGGGGAAGTGGCCTAAAGGGTAGGGTGGCATCTTCCAGGGCCTAGACCTTGGGGCTGTGATCCTTGCAGACCCCCACACCCCAACCCATCCCAATGAAACGTTATCCTGCCTGGCGGTCAGAGAGGTGGAGGTGAAGGCTGGCGCCTGCCTGCCTGGGTCTGGGGCTGCCTGGGGAGCTCCTTCCAGTTTCCGGCTCCCCAAGCAGCCAGCTCTCCCGGCCAGGCTGCCAGCCAGAGGTGCTGGATCAGACTGTGTGTGCTCAGCCTGGGTGGGTGGGCTTCATCCTGCACCACAGGAATGCCTGGGGACAGCCTCGTGTTTGGCGTCACGGGCCCTCACCTGGCCTCACCTCCCCCCACGTGCCCTACCAAGGGCAAGCAGGCCAACTCCACTCAAGTCTTCGGGGTTCTGGCTGACTGTCCTTCCTCCCACCATTCTGGGAGGTGTATACGAGGCCCACCAGCCCCCTGCCCGCTGCCTGGTGGGCGGGGGTCCTGGAGCAGACAGGTCAGGAAGGAGTGGCCTGTGGCTGAGGTCCAGGCCAGTTTGGGCCCTCCCCACTGGTGGCCTGTGGCTGCAGCTACTGGCGTAGGGGGAGCAGGCCAGGTTGAGTGGGCAGGAGGCCAGGGCAGGGATGAAAAGGCCCTTCATGGCTCGCACAAAGGCCGTCTGTGAACAGGGGCGCCTGGCCTCAGGGCCGTGTGGTCAGAGCGAGCGCTAAACAAACTTATTTACCGAAAGGCAGGGCGGCTGGGGGCAGCGGGGCCGGGGGACAGCCCACAGTGCCCAGGCCCCACTTCTCCTGGTTTCCTTGGTTAGAGCACAGTCACAGAATGTTGTTTACTCTGGTCCTTGGAGTTCGGGTCTCATCACGGGTCCTCTTTGGTCCTCCCCCTTCTCTGTCCTCACTTAACGCCCCTGCGGCCAACCCATCACTTGCTGTACAGGCCCATGGGTTCCATCCTCTGCACCCTTGCTCAGGCTGCTCCCTCTGCCTGGCATCCCCCCGCCACCCCCAGATGGGGGGCCTGCCGCTGGCGGACTCCTGACAGCTGCTTCTGGCCATGGCTTCCCGGAAGGGCAGATCTGGGGGGAGGGTGGGGTATTGCCTTTAAACATTTTTTCCCCCTCGTACTACAGCAAATTCACAGAATACAGACGTGGAGGTGAGGATAAGCAAATGATTCGGCCCCTTCCTGGCGGCCGCATCGCCTCTGCTGGAGGCTGGTGGCTGAGTCCGGGCTGCCATGGGGGCACCCGCCTGGGCTGGCAGGAAGCTGGCTGGCCCCTGGGGCGCTGGCTGTTCCAGCACAGACGAGCCCCGGACCAGACTTGGGAGGGGAAGGAGGGGGTTCTCCCGTGACGGGCAGCAGCAGCAGACCACACCACACGGAGTGGCCGAGCCTGTGTCTGGCTGTGGACCTCACGCCAGAGGGACCCCAGGGCGGAGGCAGCCCTGAGGATGGTGATGATAGCATGGTTACCAACGTGTGTGGGCTGGGAGAGGCACGGTCCCACCCACATTTCACAAGTCAGGAAAGTGAAGAAGGGGGTGGTGAGGTCGGCCTGCCAGGACCCCAGGGTGCAAGTGTGACAGCCTGGGCCCGCGAGCAGGGAGGAGCCGGGCCTCTGTGGCAGCAGCAGCCAAGCCCGTCACAGGGCAGAGCAGAGGAGGGGGCCTGGGTGCACCTCCCAGCTGCCGTACTCAGAGGGCCCACTCCCCCCCCCCCAGATGGCTCTGGGCTCTGGCAAAGGGCGGAGGGTGGCTAGCTCCAGGGGCGAGTCCCTGCCCTCCCAGGGCCATGGGGCCTGTCACTCTTCCTGAGCTTGGAGCTGACTCCACAGATGCCACCCAGGTTGGCTGGGCCTGGTCCCCAGGAGCCCTGTGGCAGCCTCCCTGGCCAGGTGCCTGGCAGACAGAGGTGAGCTTTGGCCGGCAGTGGTAGGACAGGGAGGTGCCTGCCTGCTGTCCCGACTTGGGCGCATGGGGAACGAGTGGGGGCCAGTGGTTTCTCCATTTATCTGGGGAGACAGGCAGTCTGTGAACCCGAGACCTCAGGGCCTGCCAAGTGGTGGGTACACTCAGGCCCTTTCTGTGCCCAGCCCCTGGGAGCCTGAGGTCAGCGTGCCTGGGGCCTGGAGCCTTCCTTCCACGGTAGCTACAAGGCTGCAGACCCACAGTGACAAGGAAGGCCTGACGGGTAGGGTCACTTCGTCCCTCCTCACGGGGACAACTTTGCAGTTGGTGGGGTCACGATGGCCTCCAGACCCAGCACTGCAGTTGAGCCTTGGGCCCTGTGAGAAGAAAGCTCCCCCCAACCCTGCCCCTCTGGGTGCTGGGCCTTTTCCCCGGGAGGCCTCCTTGCCAGGGGTATTTTCTGAAAAGGGTGCCAGCTTGGGCAAGCCTTGTTGTCCCTGCCCGCTAGCTGAGCTTCAGAACTGAGCCAGCCTGGGCCGGAGACAGGCTGCGGGGGGCAGGTCGTGGGGGGAACTTGTACAATTTTATTGTGAAAAGATGTTAAGTTTATAGAAAAGTTGCAAGAATCACCCAATGAACTCCATTAGATTGTTCACTCAGATTCCCCAGTTTCCAACATTTGGCCACATTTGTTCTCTCTGTCTTCCTGATTCTACCCACCTGCCTGTCTGAACACTGAACCATTTGAGAGTAAGGTGCAGACGTGCCCCTTTGCCCCTAAATATGCCCCCACACAAGCATATTCTCTCGCATAAGCGGTCGGTTGTCCACAGGAGGAAGTGAACGTGGGTGCAGCGCTGTTATCTAGACCACAGCCTTACTCAAACTTCGCCAGTGGATCCCAACTGTGGTTTACAGCAGCCCTTCCGCCCCCACCCGGGAACATACGCATTAGTTGTCGCAGCTCCTCTGCCTCCAGGCTGGAGGAGTGCCCCAGCCTTCCTTCGTTCTTCATGGCCTTGCCATTTTCGAAAGCCTAGTGATTTTACGGCTGGCCCCGAATTTGGGTTCGGCTAGTTTCCTCACGCTTTGCCCCAGGTGTTACTACTGTTGGCAGGACAGCCCTGGGGGTACCTTTCCCAGATCACACTCAGGCTTAGGCTGAGGGCTGACCCTGCTGAAGCCGGCCGCCAGGGCTGGGCTAGGAGGCCTGGAGCCCACCTGCCACCCTGGCTTGGAACTTCGCTAGGTGGCTGGGGCCCCCTGCTTGAGGAGGATGGATGAGCTCAGGGTTGGGGTGGCGCTGCAGGGCTCCCGGGCCAGGATGGGGGTAGCGGTGGGTAGTTGGCATGGTCTGAGGCTAGGGTGGGGCTATGGGGCTGGGGTTATCACACAGGCCTCTCGGTCTGTCGCTTCAGTTATCTGGGGCCCCTGGGTACCCCAAACCCTACTAACCCCCTACCCGTGAGCAGAGAAAGGCTCCTGCAGAAACGGCTGCCCAGGGACTGACGTATTGATTGAGCCCCAGCTTGTATGGGGGGGCAGGGAACACCCACCCTTTCCTGAGGGCTCCCTTACAGACCACAGACACCCCTGCCCACCCCTCTGGCCCTGTTTTGTTTGGAGACAGTAATGTCCTGGCATCAGTTCCTTAGTATATAGAGGCCCCTTGGGCTTTTAGCCTCAGACACATAGGGGCGTGAGCGGGTGCTAGACCCCACGTTCTGTGGGCCGCATGGCTTTACCCAGGTGAGGGCCAAGGGGGAGAAGTAGGGCTGGGGTACCCTGGGGTGCCGGTGGGCCTCTCCTCTGCACCTCCAGCCTCGCAGGGCCCAGGGTGGGCAGGGACCTGCTGCTTCACCTTCCTGGCCTCTTCTCCCTGGTGGACGCTGACCTGTGTCTGCCCTGCTGGGGAGGTGGGGTCCCTCACATGTGTCGCTCCACCCAGGCCTATAGAGCCCATTGGTTCAGATGGGGTACCCTAAGCCCTTCTGGGAGAGAGGAATTGCCCGGCCCCATGTCCCCCTGCTCCGCTGCCAACGCTGGGCTCTCCCAGCTGTTTTCTAAGCCGGCCTGTCCTTCACCCCACTCCCTCCATCAGTCTGTCTTCACTCGGGCTGTGACAGCAGCCTGGCCCCAGTGGGGGCTTGGGGGCTACACGTGGCCTCTCGGCCTCGGTGGCCTCACCTGTGACACGGGAGGGCTAGTGTCTGCGGATCCCCAGGCGCCCCCATTCCGCGCACAGCGCCGCCTGCCCAGGCGGCCGGCCGCAGGGGCGGGGCGGCCTCCGCGTGGGCCCCGCTGCCCGGGCTCCAGCGCCTGTCCTTGGCCTTGCAGCCGAGGGCCCGCAGGAGCCCGCGCCCACCCTGTGGAACGAGCCTGTTGAGCTGCCGTCCGGAGAGGGCCCCGTGGAGAGCACCAGCCTCGCCCGGGAGCCCGCGGCCACCGGCGCCCCGCTCCCCACCGCCGCGCCGAGCCCGGAGGACAGCACCGCGCGGGAGCATTTGGATCCGGGCGCCGGTAGGTGGCGGAGCGGCGCGGGACGGGGCGGCGGGGACCGGGGGGCGGAGCGGGCGGGAAGCGCGGGCTGACGCGGCCCTCCGTCCCCTGCAGGCTCGCTGGGGCCCGGTGCCATCGCGGCCATCGTCATCGCCGCCCTGCTGGCCACCTGCGTGGTGCTGGCGCTCGTGGTCGTCGCGCTGAGAAAGTTTTCCGCCTCTTGAAGCAAATAAAGGGGCTGCGCCCCCCGCCCGGCGCGACTCGGCGGCACCGCGGGGCGCGCCCGTGTCTCGATGTGTCCGTGCGTGAGTGTGTGGCCGACGGGGCGGCAGCTCGCCGCGCGCGCGTGTGCCGGCCGGGCGCAGTCCTCCCG